CTTCCTGGACTCCGCTCTAGGGTCCTACTTCCGACCAAGTCCTCTCTACAGTCCCCCGCTCTAGAGTCCTCCGCAGTCCGCTCTAGAGTCCTGCTCCCGAAAATCACTGTCGGAAGAAATGATCTGCAGCATGTATGGAACTACAGGGCTGAAAACCAATGCAACAGCTATTTTTATGTTGAATCGTGCCCCAATCCCTAGCCCTAGGCCTATATCTTCTAGTATCTTCAGCGTCCAGTGTCACAGTCCATAAAGTAGCACTATTACGTATTGTATGTATTCCTCCCTACAAAATGTATTCCTCCCTACAAAATATGGTATTCCGATTCGTGCCTGAACATGAAAACTGAATAATATTTTGCAACACCACTCCAAGTCCAATTGATGGAAGTTTACACTTTTATTTGTACGTAGTGACCTTGATTGACGATATATCAACCTTTCCAGATCGTTGCTCTGCAAAGGAACGATCTTGATGCGATTAAGCAAGAATAATACCTTATCGGACCTTATTTGGACGGACATTAAATGAACGGACATAATTATGAACGGATCAGTGTTTATTAATATCACATATCATCTTCATCAAATTAAAGCATCAGTGATTTCTAGCTTTATAGAAACCACTTTTTAATCAAACTACCCCGGTCCTGCATTTCAGTGTACTTAACTTTTACAAGCCATTCGGCGTGAAGTGGTTTTATCTTAGGGGTCGTTCACATATTACGTAATCAATATTTTAGCAATTTTTACCCCCTCCCCACTTCCGTAATCAACCGTAATCAAGTCCCAAACCCCCCCCCCCCTCCTGACAGCAATATTACGTAATCATGGCCTGACCCCCCCCCCGGCCCCCGGCCCCCCCCCCCCCCCCCACCTTGACTTTTTTCCTAGAAAACACTTTTCTCTACGTTTCATGCTACCCTGATCATGCTATCATCGATGAGCCGAAATCATTGTTATGATATCCAGCCAAGCACCTTTTAAACTTACTATTATAGCCGGATATTCGATCAATTTCTAAATTTTTATATCACTATCAGAGTGAAATTGAGTGGAATTTGAATTAAAATATTGTCAAATTGTTATTATTCTAGAGGGTAACAAAATTTTTGATTACGTAATCAACGGCCGAAACCCCCCACCCCCCCCCCCCCCCCCCCTTAGGCTTAATCAACCGTAAGCATTTGGAAACCCCCCTCCCCCCTCGGCTGATTACGTAATATGTGAACGACCCCTAATAGATAACTTTAGGTTAACCTTAACATCACGTGGAGCTTTCCTAGCACTGTTTCATTACCTCCCCTGAGTAATATGAACTATAACAACGTCGGACAATGTCCTTGGCAACACGATTTACCGTAATATCTAGAGGCTGGAACAAGTTTGTCATGTTGCATGTTGGCGGGGACTATAGCTCATGAAATATGTTGTTGAGGGCGCCATAATTTCGTTGACTTTTTGAACCCTTGAAAACATCATATACTAGTAGTTATATTTTTTTAGAAAATATTTTAATGGTGTACAGTGTAACATGTAAGCATAATTCAAAAATTTCTCTATTGCAAAATTGCTTCCAGGCGTTTTGCACGAGCAAAATGCTCAAAAATGATTGCCTTCAATAAACTTTTACTGTTCGGTACTACTACTAGTACTATACTATAGTATTGAAATTTATAAAACCTTTGAAATTCTTACTGTGGCGCGCAGAAAATCATTCCTACACCCCTGAATTATCTGCTATTACATGTGAAAATCACTGTCGGAAGAAATGATCTGCAGCATGTATGGAACTACAGGGCTGAAAACCAATGCAACAGCTATTTTTATGTTGAATCGTGCCCCAATCCCTAGCCCTAGGCCTATATCTTCTAGTATCTTCAGCGTCCAGTGTCACAGTCCATAAAGTAGCACTATTACGTATTGTATGTATTCCTCCCTACAAAATGTATTCCTCCCTACAAAATATGGTATTCCGATTCGTGCCTGAACATGAAAACTGAATAATATTTTGCAACACCACTCCAAGTCCAATTGATGGAAGTTTACACTTTTATTTGTACGTAGTGACCTTGATTGACGATATATCAACCTTTCCAGATCGTTGCTCTGCAAAGGAACGATCTTGATGCGATTAAGCAAGAATAATACCTTATCGGACCTTATTTGGACGGACATTAAATGAACGGACATAATTATGAACGGATCAGTGTTTATTAATATCACATATCATCTTCATCAAATTAAAGCATCAGTGATTTCTAGCTTTATAGAAACCACTTTTTAATCAAACTACCCCGGTCCTGCATTTCAGTGTACTTAACTTTTACAAGCCATTCGGCGTGAAGTGGTTTTATCTTAGGGGTCGTTCACATATTACGTAATCAATATTTTAGCAATTTTTACCCCCTCCCCACTTCCGTAATCAACCGTAATCAAGTCCCAAACCCCCCCCCTCCTGACAGCAATATTACGTAATCATGGCCTGACCCCCCCCCCCGGCCCCCGGCCCCCCCCCCCCCCCACCTTGACTTTTTTCCTAGAAAACACTTTTCTCTACGTTTCATGCTACCCTGATCATGCTATCATCGATGAGCCGAAATCATTGTTATGATATCCAGCCAAGCACCTTTTAAACTTACTATTATAGCCGGATATTCGATCAATTTCTAAATTTTTATATCACTATCAGAGTGAAATTGAGTGGAATTTGAATTAAAATATTGTCAAATTGTTATTATTCTAGAGGGTAACAAAATTTTTGATTACGTAATCAACGGCCGAAACCCCCCACCCCCCCCCCCCCCCTTAGGCTTAATCAACCGTAAGCATTTGGAAACCCCCCTCCCCCCTCGGCTGATTACGTAATATGTGAACGACCCCTAATAGATAACTTTAGGTTAACCTTAACATCACGTGGAGCTTTCCTAGCACTGTTTCATTACCTCCCCTGAGTAATATGAACTATAACAACGTCGGACAATGTCCTTGGCAACACGATTTACCGTAATATCTAGAGGCTGGAACAAGTTTGTCATGTTGCATGTTGGCGGGGACTATAGCTCATGAAATATGTTGTTGAGGGCGCCATAATTTCGTTGACTTTTTGAACCCTTGAAAACATCATATACTAGTAGTTATATTTTTTTAGAAAATATTTTAATGGTGTACAGTGTAACATGTAAGCATAATTCAAAAATTTCTCTATTGCAAAATTGCTTCCAGGCGTTTTGCACGAGCAAAATGCTCAAAAATGATTGCCTTCAATAAACTTTTACTGTTCGGTACTACTACTAGTACTATACTATAGTATTGAAATTTATAAAACCTTTGAAATTCTTACTGTGGCGCGCAGAAAATCATTCCTACACCCCTGAATTATCTGCTATTACATGTGAACATTGCGAGGTATCTAGGCCCTAGGGGTAGGACAGGAGGAATTATTTTAGTTTTACGGGAAATTGAATAAAAATTGAATCAAGTAATCAAGCTTTCTTGGAAACGCGTAGCACCAATATAGACATGGCCGGTAATTGGGTAATGGGTATTAATATAAGTATAACTTACAAGTCATTATCAGTGATCAGGGCACCAACTACCACATCACGATTGATTTAATTATAATTATATCTCCCCAAGAATTTTACCTGGGGACCTCGAGGAAATGATCTCAATTTAAATAACCGTTTCTGTACTATAAAGCGCGAAATGTTGCCGAGAATGAATCAGAATAAGAAAAGCGAACGACCAATATAAACTGAGGTGTTTTTTCACATTATCTGGCATCCTGAGGATAGAAATAGCTGCAGAGATATATATATTTATCTTAGAAACATAGTCCGCAGGCTAAGTTATCGTCAAGGGAAGCATTACCTTACCGTAAATGTTTAATACCTTATCGATCGGACCTTATTTGGACGGATATTTATATTATTTGAACGCTGGAGGCCCTAACGGTCATCTTAATGTCCGTTCAAATAAAGTCCGTTCATTTAAGCTCCGTCCAAGTTAAAGTCCGTTGAATTTTTTTCAAAAATTTTTCCACTTGGACGGACATTAAATGAACGGAGATAATTATGAACGGACATTAATATGATTATGAACGCTAGAAGGCATTCAAAACCATCGAAAAACCGAATTTTTTTCGTTTTTCTTAACTTTTTTTTAATTTCAGCAATTGATTTTTAAATCCATTTTTTATACACTAACAGTAGTCAGTAACTAGTAAGTAAGAAAAGCAGTCGTTAAGCAGTAAAAATGTTAAAATAAGTGTACATGATCAGTGTCTAATATCACATATCATCTTCATCAAATGGGTTTTCGTGCATGAAATTGAAATAGTCCATGCTTAAAGCCTCAGTGATTTCGAGCTTTATGGAAACCTTTTTTATCAAACTACCCCGGTCCTGCATTTCAGTGTTAACTTTTACAAGTAAAGCTATTCGGCGTGAAGTGGTTTTATCTTAGATAACTTTAGGTTAATACCTTAACATCACGTGGAGCTTTCCTAGCACTGTTTCATTACCTCCCCTGAGTAATATGAACTATAACAACGTCGGACAATTTGTCCTTGGCAACACGATTTACCGTAATATCTAGAGGCTGGAACAAGTTTGTCATGTTGCATGTTGGCGGGGACTAGCTCAACAAACTATGTTGTTGAATGCCATAATTTCGTTGACTTTTTGAACCCTTGAAAACATCATATACTAGTAGTTATATTTTTTTAGAGAATATTTTAATGGTGTACAGTGTAACATGTAAGCATAATTCAAAAATTTCTCTATTGCAAAATTGCTTCCAGGCGTTTTGCACGAGCAAAATGCTCAAAAATGATTGCCTTCAAGGGACCAAACCAACTATATTTACCTCAATTCTCTAGTCTTTTCAGACGCAGAATCTTCTACACTCTCTGACTTCTTCTGATGTCTGGGACTTACGACCCCAGATGTAGCTTTCAACGACGTTTTAAGGGCCCAACGTTCAGCTGTTCATCAGGGTTAAACTGGGCAGGGTCTTTCAGCCAGCTGCCAGTTGTCACTCCAGGTCTTGTTGTAGCGACTAAGCCAGATAGTGTAGGAACCTTTCAGGGACACCACCGCTGTTGTGTTAAGTGCCCTCTTCTTCTTTGCCCGGGTGATGTTAAGGAAGTTGAAAATTCGGGGTAATGTGTGGTGGTAGAATCCACGACATCCAACTTCTACTGTAAAGAGATATCCTTCCCAGCCTGCGGTCTCGATCTCCACCATTAGCTCTTCGTATCTCTTCTCTTTCCGGGATCTCTGGTCCTCAAAGTTCTCCTCGTTTCCACAGGTCAGCTCTATCAGGATGACTTTCCTGAGTGTGTTAGAGTATATTACCACATCAGGTCTGAGAGCTGTGTTGACAATATGTTGGGGGAATTGTCTTGTCCTTTCGTCCTCATCAAACACTAGTTTCCAGTCGTTACCTTCCTCTAGAAGATGAGGTTCTTCTGTAAGCCGTACTTCGGGTTTCCTGTAGGTTCCTTTTCCGGATACGAACTTCCTCCACTCTCTCTTTACTTCTGTCTTTGGGGTAGCACTGTTTATCTCCCTCAGCTTCTCTGCAATTGGTTGCACGATTACCCTGAGCACCTGATCATGTCTCCAATTATACCTTCCTTGTTTAAGCGACACTGGGCAACACGTTAGAATGTGCTTTAGGTTGCACTGCTGACGCCCACAAAGGGGACAGTTGTTCGTGGAGCTGTAGTTCCAAAGCTGGAGGTTGCTAGGTGTACTTGCAACGTCGTGGATGGCATTTAGGTGGAACTTTGTCAGCTCGGGGCTCAAGGTATACAGCAGGCTTTGCCAGCCAGTGTCTAGCTGCATGGTGTTCTTCCAGGTTAGAAACTTTCCTTGGACTCTCTTATCGTAGAGAGTTTGAAGGAGCTCCTCTTCTTTCAGAGACTTAATTATCTCCACCAGTTGCTCCTTTTTGTTCTTCTTCCTCCTCTGATCACCGAATCCAATACCGGCTCCTTCCCTGGTCTGCACGTAGCCAATCAGTTCTTTGAAGTAGAGGTCTCTCTCCCTATTAGTCAGCTCCTTGGTGTAGTCCCATCTCTTCTTGTCTCTGTTGGTGTTTTCTCTGTACTCGAAAACCTCCCTCACTTTGGGGTCAACCGATGTCTTCAGCATATAGGCCTTGGACACCTGTAGACATTTGTACAGGTTGGAGATCTGCTTTAACGATAGTCCAAAGTGGTCTTTTGATCTGTACAGCACACTATTCGATATGGAAGTAGTAACTCCAAGCCATTTCTTCAAGTATCTGGTACAAAGAGCCTCTAGTGTCTGGATGAATGATACTGGGAGGTTGTATATCATAATATTCCACTGTACTTTGCTAGTTAGCATGTGGTTGTAGATCCAGCACTTGCTTGGTCCAGAGAGCTCCGCCATGTCTACCTTTTCCAGCTGGCCTGAAAGTTGAGTGGTGATTAGCTCTCTCGTCTCATCTTGGCCCAGGTTGACGTAAATCCAGTGACCAAGGAACTTTATCGGTGTGTCACCAAGGTACGCTACTTTCTCGTTTGCAATGATGATCTCAGGGTCAAACGATCTGTAGGTATTGTCCACTACCTTCATTCCGAGAGCAATACACTTGCTGGGTTTAGCTCTCATCGTCCTTGTCCATGCTAAGAATTCCTCCATTTGCCCGACCAGCCTCTTCATTTTGTCGAGTCTGTCAGACAGCAGGGTGAGATCATCTGCAAAAGCTCTGTTTGTAGTTGGCTCAGAGCTGAACGACGGCTTGTATCCCATTGTTCTGTCGACCTGAAGTAAATCCAAGAGTAGGTTGAATGCTATTAAGAATAGCACGACAGAAAGCGGGTCCCCTTGAAACAACCCAATTAGGTAGTAGAACCACTCACTCTTCCACTTCTTCGTCTTCACCCGTACTACCAGTTCGTCGTAGTACTTGACAATATATTGGACCACTTCTTCTGGGAACTTGTAGTGCCGAAGCGCAAACACTATCAGCTCATGGGGTACTCTCCCATAAGCATTCATAAGATCCACCCATACTGCATACACCTGTCTTCTCTTACTCTTTGCATCCCGCAGTTCCTCCATGAGCGCTTGTGTGTGTTCTATGCATCCTGGCATCTTGCGCAGGAAGCCTTTTTGCACAGAGGTATCGATGTACTTATTGGTGGTCATGTAGTCGAGCATTTTATCAGCTAGCATACCCATTGCCACTTTCCCACTGGTGTTAGTCATAGTGATGTTCCTAAACTTGCCAGGGTCACTAAGGTCCGTGGTCTTGGGAAGTAGGATGCTTTCTCCAATTCTCCACTGCAAGGGGACACTGTTTGATAACCAGAGTTTACTAATACACGCATACAATAGTTCTCTCAGCCTGGCACACCTTTTGTAAACTATGTATGGCACTCCGTTGGGCCCTGGTGAAGATCCATTGCGTCGTGTTTTGATCTTCTTTTCAAACTCTTCGTAAGTAGGTACTGTGCACACAAAGGGGTACACTGGGTCTTTGGCATCTGGTATTCCTGCCATCTTTTCGAAGACATAACATCTATCTCGGTCCATGTATTCCTTGGGGTAGTATCTGTCAGCCTCTTCCTTGCCGAAGGTAGGCTCTCCCGAGATCTTCTCATCAAGGAGTCTTTTACTGTAGTCATAGGGGTTCCTCCTGAAGCGTTGGGTCTCCTTCTTCTTTTCTTTCTTTTTCCTCTTCTTCAACTGTTCACGCCTAGACTTGTTGTGGATTCTCACTAGTCTCCAGTACTGCGCTCTTACTGCTTTGGCACCACCAGAAGTGACTCCGCCCTCTCTCACAGCCTCTCTATACTCGCGTGCTGTGTCCTTCTTCTTTTTCCTGAGGGTCTTGGTGACTGGTCCTTCCTTATTGGGCTTATCAAGGTATGGTTTCCGTTCTTCCTGTCCATATCTGTCAGCCAAGTACTCGTAGATAGTAAGCTCCATAGTCTTTAGCTCTTTCTCTGGGTCTTTACCCTTCACGATGTTCCCGATGGCAATGCTTAGGTCTTCATCAATTCCTTTCCATTCATTCATCTTGTTTGCCTGTGGTAAGGATAACTTTAGAGTATCCTTCAGTTCTATCTGTTCTGGGGGTTTGTCTTTCGCAGAGAAACTAGCTGAGCAGGCTTCTGTCATTGTAGCACTGTGGTTTGATTCCGGGCTTGACTTCAGCTCCGACTTACAGTAGCGATCTCCCTCCGCTGGTCCAACATCCACTTCCGTTTCTGTATTCTCAGCAGCACGAAGCTCGTCTTGCGGTCTCAGTTTGCATCTCCACTGGTGTTTGGCGACTTGTTTGAACCCCTTCCCACACCACTCACATACTTGAGGTTTATCCTTAGGTGGTTCAGCCTCAGAGGTTTCATTACCAGGTTGTCGGGTCTGTTCCCCTGAGGTCAGATCATCTATTCTCCCACCCCGTCCAGTGATCATGTGGGCATTTTTCTTATTGTTTGCTGGAGTGTTGATTGTTATACACAGCTCTGCCGTGTATTCCGGCTAATCGCCCTACTAAGGCAATCAGCTTCGGGTCTTTCCCCTGTGGTCAGCAGTCTTTCCAGGCCGTCAGCAGTCTTTCCATGCCGTCATCTGCCTTTGGCAGTCGTCAACTAGTCTTTCCTAGCCGTCGTCAAGGCTTTCCCTCCTTGCAGAGCAAATCCATGTCCATGTTTGAGACCAAACCAACTATATTTACCTCAATTCTCTAGTCTTTTCAGACGCAGAATCTTCTACACTCTCTGACTTCTTCTGATGTCTGGGACTTACGACCCCAGATGTAGCTTTCAACGACGTTTTAAGGGCCCAACGTTCAGCTGTTCATCAGGGTTAAACTGGGCAGGGTCTTTCAGCCAGCTGCCAGTTGTCACTCCAGGTCTTGTTGTAGCGACTAAGCCAGATAGTGTAGGAACCTTTCAGGGACACCACCGCTGTTGTGTTAAGTGCCCTCTTCTTCTTTGCCCGGGTGATGTTAAGGAAGTTGAAAATTCGGGGTAATGTGTGGTGGTAGAATCCACGACATCCAACTTCTACTGTAAAGAGATATCCTTCCCAGCCTGCGGTCTCGATCTCCACCATTAGCTCTTCGTATCTCTTCTCTTTCCGGGATCTCTGGTCCTCAAAGTTCTCCTCGTTTCCACAGGTCAGCTCTATCAGGATGACTTTCCTGAGTGTGTTAGAGTATATTACCACATCAGGTCTGAGAGCTGTGTTGACAATATGTTGGGGGAATTGTCTTGTCCTTTCGTCCTCATCAAACACTAGTTTCCAGTCGTTACCTTCCTCTAGAAGATGAGGTTCTTCTGTAAGCCGTACTTCGGGTTTCCTGTAGGTTCCTTTTCCGGATACGAACTTCCTCCACTCTCTCTTTACTTCTGTCTTTGGGGTAGCACTGTTTATCTCCCTCAGCTTCTCTGCAATTGGTTGCACGATTACCCTGAGCACCTGATCATGTCTCCAATTATACCTTCCTTGTTTAAGCGACACTGGGCAACACGTTAGAATGTGCTTTAGGTTGCACTGCTGACGCCCACAAAGGGGACAGTTGTTCGTGGAGCTGTAGTTCCAAAGCTGGAGGTTGCTAGGTGTACTTGCAACGTCGTGGATGGCATTTAGGTGGAACTTTGTCAGCTCGGGGCTCAAGGTATACAGCAGGCTTTGCCAGCCAGTGTCTAGCTGCATGGTGTTCTTCCAGGTTAGAAACTTTCCTTGGACTCTCTTATCGTAGAGAGTTTGAAGGAGCTCCTCTTCTTTCAGAGACTTAATTATCTCCACCAGTTGCTCCTTTTTGTTCTTCTTCCTCCTCTGATCACCGAATCCAATACCGGCTCCTTCCCTGGTCTGCACGTAGCCAATCAGTTCTTTGAAGTAGAGGTCTCTCTCCCTATTAGTCAGCTCCTTGGTGTAGTCCCATCTCTTCTTGTCTCTGTTGGTGTTTTCTCTGTACTCGAAAACCTCCCTCACTTTGGGGTCAACCGATGTCTTCAGCATATAGGCCTTGGACACCTGTAGACATTTGTACAGGTTGGAGATCTGCTTTAACGATAGTCCAAAGTGGTCTTTTGATCTGTACAGCACACTATTCGATATGGAAGTAGTAACTCCAAGCCATTTCTTCAAGTATCTGGTACAAAGAGCCTCTAGTGTCTGGATGAATGATACTGGGAGGTTGTATATCATAATATTCCACTGTACTTTGCTAGTTAGCATGTGGTTGTAGATCCAGCACTTGCTTGGTCCAGAGAGCTCCGCCATGTCTACCTTTTCCAGCTGGCCTGAAAGTTGAGTGGTGATTAGCTCTCTCGTCTCATCTTGGCCCAGGTTGACGTAAATCCAGTGACCAAGGAACTTTATCGGTGTGTCACCAAGGTACGCTACTTTCTCGTTTGCAATGATGATCTCAGGGTCAAACGATCTGTAGGTATTGTCCACTACCTTCATTCCGAGAGCAATACACTTGCTGGGTTTAGCTCTCATCGTCCTTGTCCATGCTAAGAATTCCTCCATTTGCCCGACCAGCCTCTTCATTTTGTCGAGTCTGTCAGACAGCAGGGTGAGATCATCTGCAAAAGCTCTGTTTGTAGTTGGCTCAGAGCTGAACGACGGCTTGTATCCCATTGTTCTGTCGACCTGAAGTAAATCCAAGAGTAGGTTGAATGCTATTAAGAATAGCACGACAGAAAGCGGGTCCCCTTGAAACAACCCAATTAGGTAGTAGAACCACTCACTCTTCCACTTCTTCGTCTTCACCCGTACTACCAGTTCGTCGTAGTACTTGACAATATATTGGACCACTTCTTCTGGGAACTTGTAGTGCCGAAGCGCAAACACTATCAGCTCATGGGGTACTCTCCCATAAGCATTCATAAGATCCACCCATACTGCATACACCTGTCTTCTCTTACTCTTTGCATCCCGCAGTTCCTCCATGAGCGCTTGTGTGTGTTCTATGCATCCTGGCATCTTGCGCAGGAAGCCTTTTTGCACAGAGGTATCGATGTACTTATTGGTGGTCATGTAGTCGAGCATTTTATCAGCTAGCATACCCATTGCCACTTTCCCACTGGTGTTAGTCATAGTGATGTTCCTAAACTTGCCAGGGTCACTAAGGTCCGTGGTCTTGGGAAGTAGGATGCTTTCTTTCACTGTTCGGTACTACTACTAGTACTATACTATAGTATTGAAATTTATAAAACCTTTGAAATTCTTACTGTGGCGCGCAGAAAATCATTCCTACACCCCTGAATTATCTGCTATTACATGTGAACATTGCGAGGTATCTAGGCCCTAGGGGTAGGACAGGAGGAATTATTTTAGTTTTACGGGAAATTGAATAAAAATTGAATCAAGTAATCAAGCTTTCTTGGAAACGCGTAGCACCAATATAGACATGGCCGGTAATTGGGTAATGGGTATTAATATAAGTATAACTTACAAGTCATTATCAGTGATCAGGGCACCAACTACCACATCACGATTGATTTAATTATAATTATATCTCCCCAAGAATTTTACCTGGGGACCTCGAGGAAATGATCTCAATTTAAATAACCGTTTCTGTACTATAAAGCGCGAAATGTTGCCGAGAATGAATCAGAATAAGAAAAGCGAACGACCAATATAAACTGAGGTGTTTTTTCACATTATCTGGCATCCTGAGGATAGAAATAGCTGCAGAGATATATATATTTATCTTAGAAACATAGTCCGCAGGCTAAGTTATCGTCAAGGGAAGCATTACCTTACCGTAAATGTTTAATACCTTATCGATCGGACCTTATTTGGACGGAAAACATCATATACTAGTAAAGTTTTCTTTGCCTCTGGCAGACCAAGGAGAACCTTTCGCTTTCCGTCTCGTCGTTATTATATAACTTACGGCACAATAAAGTTCTCAAGTGGAAAAGTTTTTGAAAAAAATTCAACGGACTTTAACTTGGACGAACCTTAAATGAACGGACTTTATTTGAACGGACATTAAAATGACCGTTAGGGCCTCCAGCGTTTAATTAATGTCCGTCCAAATAAGGTCCGATAAGGTAGTTCACGCGGCGCGTCAAATTAAAGTGGCGACGTCCTCAAAGTCCAACTCCAAGCTACTCTAACTCCAAGTATTGACCATAATTTATAAGAAGTCATCCTATCAAGCTTCAAGTTTTACTTTTCAGTGTTGTTTCCCGGAAACATAATCTGATGACTGATCAGTCTCGATCTCTAGGTATGGATAAAGCGAGACGATATAATATTATAATAAAAGGATGGATCCGTGCCATTTTACTGACACCACGGCATCAACTTAACGCGACTTTCCGCAAAAACCGTAAAAGATATACAACTGAAACTTTTTTGACTGGGTCAAATGATTTTATGCTAATGCTACAATTTCGAGTGCGAAGCACGAGGGATAATTATGAAAATAATCCCGACGTGCTTTAGCACGAGGGGATATTTTAATATAACTTAAGTGTGCCGGTGTTGTGTGTTATAAACCCCTCCGGGTTATATAAGTTATATATAGTGCTAGGACCAACAAATTTTACATTTTACTATTCCTAATTCTAGCTATATGTATATGAGATCAGTATGTCATGAAGTTCATCAAAAATCAAAGTAGACGACTATTATAATACATGGCTCATATCAAACAGTGCAATTGCTACGACAAAATTTACCGGACAAATGTAACCGACGTCGTTGAGACAAGTTCTGAAACTGGTCCAAGTAATGTAAGTCCAAGTAATGTAAGCATAAGTGTGCTGGATTTTTTCCAGCGCCTGCAATTAAACCGATACGTAGATCAATTAGTGTATTTATAGTTCTTACCTTAACTGTTAAGCCGCATAGGTCACGTGACATTTTTTACCAATGTGCGTCGTATAGTACTAACTATAGTTAGTCACGTGATACACGTCATCAAAACACGTGACAGCGCGCGGATGAAATTCTCATGCCCATGGAATATCAAAACCAAACAAATCTTGTTGAGCCAAATTAACGGGGCGGGATTATAGAAGCTGTGCTGGAGTTATTTATTGAGCGGGAAAAAACTAACAGCGGGAGCCGGGATTATCAATACCAGAATCTATCCCGCCCGACGCCCGTCCGGCTAATTATTCTAACCCGGAGTCACAGAGGCGGCTATTGAGGGCGTCCAGGCGTCCGTGGACGCCCTAAAATTATTATCTGGTGGCTGGTGCTTAAAATAGAAATAGTAATTAGTAATAGTGTTAGGAAATAACAAATCGCAATATAAAGCTCTTTATTCACTATCATACGTTTTAATGTAAGCGCACGCATGATCTTCGTGAAATTTTGTGTTGTAGGGAGTCCAACCCTACCATTGGACTACTCAGCCGCGCAGTTTTAACACATAGTTAATTGTAAACGTTACAAAGCACATCGTGCGCATCCCACTACAGGTAATCTATTATGATTTGCCTCAATTTGAGGGTCCAGGACCCTTTGCAGTTTGAACTATTGACTGCTATGATACTGCGTGGCTAAGATCGTACACGTGTGGTGTCCTGTTTCAACCATGTTATAAGTTTTTGTTTTTGTTTGCTGTCGCCTGTAAAGTGTTACACATTACATATAACAAGGCCCTTATAATGTAATCGGTAGTTTGGAGGGATCAGCTTGAGCCGACTCCCAAGCCCCCCCCCCCCCCCCAGTCCATTGTGCATTGATTGGACCCCAACAAAACTGCCAGCCAGCTCCCACGAGCCGCCTCTGCCCGGAGATGCATCTATAAGCCCGTTCCACTGACACCAGATCAGACTTATCAACTTATCGGGATCAACTTATCCGTTTGCGATTGACAATCAGACAATGTTTAGTCTACACTCTACAGTGATAAGGATTCGCGAAGTCTAAAGCTCTAATTGCCTGACAATTAGAGACGGAAAAATGTATGTCATGCTTATCACAATGCTGGCAAGCATTACCGTCGCCCTTATATTCACAATACTATTTACCCCCTATACTAGTATATCCCCTTTATTGTTTTCCAGGCATTAAGACTCATCGAAAGTAGTTCAGCAGGCATATTTAAGTTCAAAACATTCTAATTCAATGTTAAAGATGACAGGAATAAGAAATAGTTATGTGGAGGTTTTTAAGAAATTTGCGCAAAATACGCGCCAGCATGTTATACGAAATTAGGTAAAAAACCCAAAATCGCTATATTCAGGTGCCTTAAAAACCATGTTAAAACTGAGTTAGAGATATGAAACTTTGCAGGGCGTCTAGACCTTGTCCAAATCGACTGTAAAAAAATTTCATGTTTCAGGAGTATCGGCAAGTGGGTTTTCTGGAACCCCTGTTTTACAACAGATTGTCGTGAAGTATATATATATAATATATATATATTTTACCAAAACCCATAATCATGGGTAGAGTGGACCGCTGCCAGTGTCTCTCTTTACCAAACAAAAGGAAATGATATTAATTTGATTGACCGTTCTCAAATGCAAAATGATACCGAGAATGAAATCGGTCCCTCGCTTTTCCCCCACAGATGCCTTTGGGTAGTTCTTCTTAATCTATTACAATTGTAAATGAATGGGAAAAGCGAGGGACCGATTTCATTCTCGGTATCATTTTGCATTTGAGAACGGTCAATCAAATTAATATCATTTCCTTTTGTTTGGTAAAGAGAGACACTGGCAGCGGTCCACTCTACCCATGATTATGGGTTTTGGTAAAATATCATCTCTTTTTGATTATAATGTCAGGGTACTTTATAAAGTCGAAATATAAACTGATATCTTCATTAATATTAATAAGGAGGAAGTTTCAACGATTTCGAAATTTTTCCTTTAAAAACATTTCCTTGTGTTTAGGTAAGCATATCGGTCGATCACTGACTGAATATGCCACTTTATACTCATTCAAGTTGGCATTAAATTCATATATAATGACATTAAAAAGCAGAATTTGTTGGAAATCGCGAATGAGCAAAATTCTCACCTTTCGCACGTGCAAACTTTGAGCGGACGTTGCGTGCGCATCCAATATTGAATCGCCGTAAATTTTTGCATGTAATTGTTTTATATATAGCGTGATAAGCATGCAAAGTTTCAAAGTATTTCAAGAAGAACTGTAATCACAACGGCACTCTAAAGTTGACTGAAAATGACGAAAACAGCAATTTTCAGTGATTTTAGCAATTTTCTATCAATTTGGGCGTGTCCCCACGTGTGCAACTTTTCGATTTTCAACTTTAAAACTAGCCTAATGCACAATTTATACCTATAAGAAGCAGAACTGAGCTCCACAACCCAAGGCATGGCCCAACACCAGAGAATACTAAATCGCAAAATTGACGTTTTTATAAAATAATTCTTCAAAAAAGCACAAACTTCAATGACGAATATCTTTATGAAGGAGCAAGCTAGAAAAACTTTCCGGTAGATTTTCAGAATGCTTGAACAATTATCTAAGATGAAAATTTCCTCAGATTTTGAATACAATTACTTTTTAATGGTTTAAAATCATTTTTAAAAGTTATTACTTTGTCAAAAATCAAGTTTTAAAAACGGTTAACTTGATGACGTCATCAAGGGGTGTTCATGACGTCAAACAATTTGTTTATACAATGTAAACTAAAGTGTAAACAATTATTTTCAAGACCTGTGGTCGGAAATGGCTGTATCTTTTATACTTTTGAATCTATGGACAATTAAATACAGGCTACAATTGACTGGCAAAGCGTCTATCCCTGAATATATGTATATATATTTTACCAAAACCCATAATCATGGGTAGAGTGGACCGCTGCCAGTGTCTCTCTTTCCCAAACAAAAGGAAATGATATCAATTTGATTGACCGTTCTCAAATGCAAAATGATACCGAGAATGAAATCGGTCGCTCGCTTTTCCCATTCATTCACGGCTTACGAATTGTAATAATTTTCGATTGATTACATGTCAATCAGATGCTGTAAAAATCTCTTTGGGTTGCGTTCGGGTCGATACCTAGTATTTCGGGGTAAGGGTGGTAGTTATCACTTATTGAATTAGCTGAAGTTTATTGAATCTTTATTGCCGAGTACAGCTGCCTTTGGGTAGTTCTTCTT